CTTTCCTGGCCGGCCGGAGCTGCTTCCCCCCTGACAGGAAGGCAGTGGCTGCTGCCTCACAGCTCGTGGTCACCTGTACTCGCTTCCTTCCTGAGCAGGGCACAGCCCCAGTGGGCCCTTGAAAGCCACATAATTAGTGTCACCACACACAGCTGCCCTGTGACCTCTGTGTCCCCACCCCCACCCCCTCTCCCATGGCAACAGAGAGCTTTTGTTTTGTTTCTTTTGAGACAGGGTCTCGCTATGCTATGTAGTCCAGGCTGCACTTGAACTCTGGGCGATCCTCCTGCCTCAGCCTCATGAGTGCTGGGATGATAAGTGTGTGCCGCCACACCTGGCTAGCAGAGAGTTTTTCTACATCACTTCCCTTCATCATAACCCTTCTGGAGCTCTCACTCCCGCAGGACAACCTGGCTCTCTGGATCCTGTCTTGCTGGCCTCCTTGACCTGCTCCCCTGCTTATACACTGGTTTCCAGGGTACTTAACAACCCCTAAACAATCCACACACCCTCATGCTGTTGACCAAAAGGTTCCTCCCACCTGGTGTACTTACTTTCCCAATCCACCCACACACTCCTATTCAACCTTCAAAACCCAATTTAAGAACAGGAGTTGGTAAAAAAAAGGTTTTTTTTTTTTAATGAGACTGATAGAAACATTTCAGCCTTTGCAGGCCACAAGGCTTCTGTCAAGGTTACTGAATCTGCCATCGCAGGAGCCTATATCATGGCTGTATCTCATTAAAACCCGTGTCAGACACAGGTGGCCGGCGGGGTGGTATGAGCAGTGGCTCACAAAGCTCCCCACAGGAGGAGTCAGTGTCTTCCAGCCAGGACTTCTGCACCTCGCACCCACATCAAGGTGGGTGAGCTGGCTGGCTGGGAGGGCGGTCGCCCTGCTGTCATCCAGATTTCTGCAGCAGCAGCAGCCTCACTGACTTCCTGGCCTCTGCTTCGCCCTGATAGTCCATGCTTACTGTACAGACATATCTGGTCAAATTCGGGTCCAATCAGGTCACCCCTTTGCTATACAACATTCCATGGCGGGCCGGGGATGTGGCTCAGTGGCACTGTGCCTGCCTGGCAAGTGCAAGGTCCTGAGTTCGATGGCCAGTACCAAAACAAAACAAAACAAAAACAGTCCATGGCTCCCTATTTCCCTGAGGGACAAAGTCAGTGTCTTAAAATAGTCAACAACATCCTAGGGATCTGACACCCACCCCACAGCCCTTTGCCCTCAGGGCTTACCACATTCCCTCTCGCTCTGTGCCAGGCACAGTGGCTTCCTTGCTTCTCCTGGGACAAGCCTGCTTCGGGGCCTGTCCCCTTGTGTTTTCTTCGTTCCATCCCCAGCACCACACACAAAACAAAACAAAAGAACTTCCACAACAAAACCCACAATCTTCCCCTGAATGTCTTGCTGGTTTTATTCCACAGCATTTATCACCTTGTAACACACTACGCATTTTTTTTTTTTGGTACTGGGGATTGAACTTGGGTCCTTCCACTTTCAAAGCAGGTGGTGGAACCACTGAGCTAAATCCCTGGCCCCCACACTACATACTGTCTCCAACTTTTTAATTACAGAAGTGTTCAAATACCAGCCAGCATGATGGTACACACCTCTAAACCCAGGGAAGCTGAGGCAGGAGGATCTCCAGTTTGAGTCCAGACCCAGAGAAACTTAAAACATAAATAAAAATTTTAAAAATTAAAAACAGGCTAGGGATGTAGCTCAGCGGGAAACCCCTGGTTCACTCCCCAGTGCTGGAAAGAACAAAAAGTTGAAATATAGAGAAAATGGAAGGATAAGGGAAGATAATGACATTCGTACTGTACATATGAGCCCACACTGCATACCTGAGGTGTTCTGAGGTAAGACGTGGACATCTTGCTCGTGTCTGTCTTTCCCTGCTAGGATGCAAGCAGAGATTTTTGTCTGTTTCATCCTCCTGCAGTCTCATCAGCACGGAAAACACTGCTGGCCACGTGCCAAGCACCATACTGGGGAAGGAAAAGCCAGCTCTGCCTCTGACAGACCAAAGCTCTGGGGATCATTTCTTCTTGTAGAGCCTCAGTTTCCCCATCTATAAAGTGGGACGATAGGACTACTTCTTTGGGTTGTCTTCGAGGCTCAAAACCGAACAGACGGGCCGGGGATTTAGCTCAGTGGTTTCGCTGCCTGCTATGCAGGCTCAAGGACCCGAGTTCAATCCCCGGCACCAAAAAAACAAAAAACAACAACAACAACAACAAAAAGCGAACAGACACAGAGTTGCACCATTAGCGTTTTAGCTGCATCTCCCTTCCCCTTTGTGGGCGGGGACTGGGCCTGATGTCTGCAGAGGAGCTCTTGGTCTGGCTCAGCCCAGGTTTCCAACACAAATTCCAGCAGAAACCCAGCACGAGTGCTGCTTGGGGCCCGTCTTCTCTTCCCTTTACAATGCTGGTGCTGGCGGCACCTCAGTGCTTGGCACCCTTCAATCCTGGAGGCGAGGCGGGTACCAAGGACAGTGTTTTGGTTGGAAAGGGCAGCGAGCCTAAGCCTAACACAGTCTGACTGACAAGTTCTAGCCTGAGTGTTGGCTCCAAACTATGAGTGCAGGGACAAAATGTTTGCATCAAAATGCTTCAAGTACCAAATTCCACCAATTTCAAAGCAATTGAGTAGCAAGGTATGACTATGATCCCCTCTCAAGGGGATTGATTTATCTAATCATCCAGCAGTATTTTTGTTTGTTTTGTTTAGTGTTGTGTTTTCGAGACAGGATCTCAATATATAATTAACTTAGCTGGGCATGGTGGTGCACTCCTATGACCCCAGCACTTGGGAGGCTGAGGCAGAAGGATCACTGTGAGTTTAAGGCCAGAATGGGCTACCTAGTGAGACCCTGTCTCAAAAAACAAAACAAAACAAAACATATATATGTATTATATATATATTATACATATATAGTTAACTCGAACTCAGGATGGCCTCAAACTTGAAGTGACCCTCCTGCCTCAGTCTCCCGAGTGCTGGGATCATGAGTGTGCGCCACTACGCCCAGATGACCTTCCTGGGCCTGTTCTGCACCTCAGATGCGGCTGTGGGCCAGGGTGCTGAGCTTGTGGTGCAGATCCAGCCTGAACACGGGGTGGGTGTCTCGTGAAGAATGGCACTCATCCTGTTAACCCTGGGACTTTCTCAGGTCACGCTGCATGGTAGCATGTGGAATGCCTGGCCTTTTGCAAGCTCTCTGATAACCATCACCCTAACTTCACTTGTTTAGGGTGTGGAGGGCCAGACATTTTCAACTGGGAATTCTGAGTTTCATCCCTTTCTCTCAGATCCAAGTTGAAATTCTTGAGCAAATTTTAAATCTAAGTTTAAGGGGGCAGTTTCTCCACCTGCAAAATGGGACAAGAACCAGGCATCGTGGTGGATGCCTGTAATTCCAGCACTTGGGAGGGTGAAGCATGAGGATTGCTGAGAGTTTGAGGCCAGCCTGGAATACAACCCAAAGATGATGAAAGTGAAGTTGCTTCGTGTCTGATGAAGGTCTGTATGTAAGTTACTGCGGTTAGTTTTATTAACCTATGTAGGTTCTTAACTAAGCCCTGCACTGCAAGTTGTAACGTTTTGCCTCCAGATTGGGCACTTGTAACTTTGGACAGGGGAAGATAATTCCAGCCATTCCTCTTTCCACCTGGATGGAGAACAGCCTGGCAGATTCACCCAGGCCTAGGGTTGGGCCATCAGCATGAGGCCAGGAGCTAGGGGAAAGTTAGGTAGATAGGGCACAGGTCCCGAACAGTTAAAGAAAGTAAACTAAAAGTTGGGCCTAAATAGCATACCAAAACAGACGATCAAGGCCTAATGAAAAGATGGAAAATAGGTCCTTAACCAAATGGGAGAGACCCTGGAGGAAGTGAAATGCAAATGAAGCAGCTTGCTCTCCAAACAGAAAATGCCTACCTCCCTGCTTTGTCACGTACACCCGTACCAAACTGGACCTAAGCGTCTATGGTATCCGCCTCACGGAATACCCCTCTCCGACTAGCAGAGAGATTTTTTCTTTCTTTCTTTTAGAGCTTTTCTTTTACTCTAATAAACACGCATTTGGCCACCCCCACCGCTTGCTGTTTGCTGTTTTGTTGGCTTCAATCCTCGTCGCTCCAAAACAAGGTACCTGAGAGCTAGGCGATCAGGTTACAATCGGGGAGTGGAAAGGTCCCATCCCTCGTGGAGCTCTGGAGGGGACCTGCTGAGTCAGAAGCCGAGAGGTAACTGAAATCCACTCAGGTGTCTCTCCAGTATACCTCCTCATCGCATTAGCAATCACTACAGCCCGTTCACTGCTCTCCAGAGTGCGCAGACAAAAGGGCTCATTTATCTCTAACCTCACAACAACCCTGCAGGGGTGCCCACTCTGCAGCTTCCCAAGCCATTTGCTCAAGTTCCAACTAAAAGTGCTTAGATATTGCCTGAGATCGGCCTGGGGTAGGGTTATTGGACAACGAATAGCTTTTAATGCTATACTCACACTGAAAATTTATTGGTTGTTTAGCTGAAATTCAAATTTAACTGGAGGTCCGTATTTTTATGGGAGTAACCGGCAACATCAAAGCTGGTTCCTCCCTGTTTTACTCTATGCCTTTGTTGACTTTATTTTTATCTTTATGAGCAGTCATTAGCAGTAAATTCAGACTCAGGGCGCCCGATAGTTTTGGGAGTGGCAGGGCAAGCCTGCTGTCCTGGACCAACATGTCTGCTAACGAGCCTCACGAGGACCTTCCGCCCGATACAGACAGGGCCGCGACCCGCCACCGAGGATTGGCTCCTGCTGAAAGCCCATCCTCCCGCGGTGACGAAAGCCCTTTTCATTGGACAGTTATCCAAAATGGCGGAGCCCCAGCTCCCTTTGGTCCTCGAGCTTGACTCGCGGCGGGGGGCGGGGCCGCAGCAGCGGCCCGGGACATGGGCTCTGGTGATTGGCGGAGAGCAGTGGCTGGGAGGTCACGTGGCCCCGGTCGCATTTGTTTGCGGAAGTAGGGCGAAGTAGAGGTGCTGAGTAAGCTGAGGTGAGTGAAGGCTCAGGAGAGGCCGGGCCCCCCAAATCTCGGCGCTCCAGACTGACTCTAGTCGGACTCTTCTTTGGATCTTCGTCATGGGCCCGGCTCTGAGGCCTGTCCTCCATTGACCCTTATGTTAGCCCCGAGTGCCCCGGCTTGCGTCCCCGGCGTCCCCAATTTCCATCCCGTGACCACTCTTGTCTCATCTCCAGCAGTGTTCCCGCAGAGACCCCCGTCTGTCTCCCTGGATCTTTCCCCAGCACCCTAGTCCCCTCCATTGTCTCCCTCAGTGTCCTTAACTTCCTGAATCAACCAGTCAATCAACTCCCATCTCTCAGTGTCCCCCCATTTTCACCTTGGAAACCGTTAGTTGTTCCCAACTTCCTTTCTGTGCCTTCTAAGTGTGCCTCAGTGTATTCCCGCTGGATCCCGCACTTCCTCCTTTTGTTACCCCTGTTCCCCACTCCTGATTCCCTTCTTATCCTCTCATATGGCTCTAGATTTCATCAGCCCCCACATGCTCCCTCCTTCCCCACAGCCTAGTCAGCCCCATCTATGAGCCCCCAGTCCTGTGTCCACCTTCTGCTCCCACAGAAGCTGGTGACAGAGCTTGTGACCCTGGTAATCATGTGGCGAAGTGTGGGCGTGGTTGTGTGACTGGAGGGAACAGGGATCTGTGCCCATTTTCTTAATGGGCTTTGCACATGACCCCAGACAAATACCTTCCCTTCCCCTAAGCTTCTGAGTCTTTCCCTCACCTGCCCTTTACCAGCCCAACAGGATGTTAGGCAGGTTTAGTTTGGCAACATCGAAACTCCACCCTTGGGCTGAATGCAGTGTTTTTGTTATTGTCTCTGCCTTAAAAAGTTCCTGGAGTTAGGAGACTATTCTCGGGCAAGTCTGTTTCCTCATCTGTTGCAGGGGGATTGTATTCCTGCCACATCGGACTGCTGTTGGGTTCAGCGTTTTAGTAAGAAAATGTAAAAGGCAAAACTTTTTCTTTTTGAGACAGGGTCTCACTGTAATTCAGACTGGCTTTAAACTCACTATGTAGCCCAGGCAGGCCTCCAGCTGGGGGTGATCCTCCTGCTTCCACCTCCCAAGTGCTGGGATTACAGGTGTGCACCACCATGCCTGGCATAACAGCTTTGTAACCAGGACGGCTCTGAACAAATGCATAGCTTTGCTGTTGTGACATAGGCAGGGTGGAATGAGAGAGAAAGAGGATAGGATAAGAAAAGAGAAAGGTGAATAGAAGATACATTTTCATTTATCATCTGGCAAAGCTTATTAGTCACTGCCCATGAATCAGGCTCTTTTATATGTTATCTTTAACATTCATTCATTGAGCAAATATGAATTGGCTCGCTAATGCTCATGGCTACTCTTGATGTAGCCAGTGTTAGTCCTGTCTAACGTGAGGAACAGGGCAGATAAGTTGCCTGAAATCACACCAATGAAGTTGAAGCTAGAATCTGAATACAGTGCAGTTCTGACCCAATTTACGGTGGTTTGACTTGATTTTTGGATTTGATGAAGGAGCGAAGGGGATATACATCAGTAGAAACCATACTGTGAAGTTTGAATTTGAGTCTTTTCAAGGAGTAGTGATGTGTGGTTTGAGCCTCTCAGTGCAGGGCAGGGGTGGTGAGCTGCTCCTGTCAGCCACAGGTTCACAAGGGGACCTGCAGTGCCTTGTGTTGTGAGGTTGTGATATTCTGTAGGTTAAAGGTATTAAATGCATTTTTTTTGTTTATGCTATCTTCAAATGATGATGGGTTTATCAGAGCACAACTCTGTCTTAAGTCAAGGACCACCTCACTGTGTGTGTTTTGGCCCCAGAGCTGTGTGATTGTCCCTCTGTGTAAGGGTTGCTACCATTGTCTTGGTGCTCAGGGGACTTTTCCTCTTTTGTGGGTTACTTTCTTGTTAGATGACAGTGTCCCTCCGAAAGGGAATTTCCTTTGAACTCAGCAGAATGACATCACCAAGAAATAGAGGAAGGAGGAATTTAAATGTTCAGTGTGTGTGTGTGTGTGTGTGTGTGTTTGTGTGTATGTGTGTCTGTACACCTGCCCTGGGTGTGCAGAGGGGAAGTGGGTAGGCAAGGACAGGTAGAGAAGGGAGTATTAGGAGCTTCACTTTGTGGTTTCCTGGGAGAACATGTTCAGTGTCTGTCATAGTGGAGTTTTTTTGTTTTTGGTTTTTTACACTTGATCTTAGCCAAAAAGGCTGAGAAGTGATTGTTTTGTTTTGTTTTGTTTGTTTTTGTAGTTCAGGTTGCCCTTGAACTCACCGGGTAACCCAAGCTGACCTCAAACTTGTGGCCATCCTCCTGCCTCAGCCTCCCAAATGCTGGAATCACAGGCATGGGCCACCATGCACAGCCTTGTCATAGTGGATTTTTGTAGGGTTGTTTCAGATCTCTCTTTCTCTCCCCTCTCTTTTCTTCCCCCCCTCTCCCCTCCCTTTCTCCTAGCCTTATTTTCTGGTGATCTCATCCAGTCTTAGGACTTTAAGTACTGTCCTTATTGGGGCAGTCCTCAAGTTTTTCTTTGTGTGTTTGCTGAGGGTCAAACCCAGGACCTTATGCATATCAGGCAAGTGCTGCACACTGCACTGCATGTCTGGCCCAGCAACCTTCAAATGTGTTTCTCCAGTTTGGTGCAGATCTTTCTGGTGAATGATAGACTCACATAGCTAGTTGTTCACTCAGCGCCTCCCTTAGCCATTTCACACTGAAAGTATTTAGGGCTGATCCCTTCCAACCCTTACCTCACCCTTCACCAAAACCTGTCCCTCCCACTCTTACTTATCTTAGGAAATGCAGTGTTATTCTTTTAGTTGTAGACGGTAAGGCCTAGGATAATCCTTGATGTTTCTTTGCCCCACCCCACCCCACCCCACATCCGGCCAGAGCAATCCATTAAAATGTCAAATGGCAGGACCAGCTCCGGGTGAGACCCCCACTTCCTCTCGGGGCTTCACTGTCCCCATGTGCTGGACAAATGTGATGATTGCACCCTCTGAGGGCGCTGGTAGAAGTGGACCCCTGTGCTGACTGAAGGGTGGTGGCCTGGTGAGAGGACGGGGCCTGCATGTGGCATCACACCCCTGTGCTGGGTTTGCGGTAGTAAGAGCTGCAGGCAGGAAGTTGGGGCAACAGCAGGCTTGGTGCGCTGGGCAGAACCGTGTCCTCAGCTCACTATCCTGATAGGGCAGGATTGGCCACTCAGGAGGAGGTCACTTTCCTGCTGTAGGGGCTGGCAGCCATTGTTCCAGTCATGGGACATCCTGTCACAAGCGGCAGGGCTGTGGGGCCCTGTTTCCACTATGGGCTGTGCTCTGCTTTAGGAACCTTGCATGACCCGGCCAGTGAGGTGAGCTCCTGGCTTCTTTCACTGCTCCCCAGGCAACTGTCCTGCCCTGAGGCATCAGTTGTCATCTTTGGAGGGGAGGGAGCACAGGGCCTACTGGAGCAGGAGCAAGCACAGCTGTCAGCACCTGGCAGGTCATGAGCAGAACTTTCCAGAGTGGAGCCTAGCAAGGGACTGGCCTGACACTTGGTGGCACTGCCAAGGCTCTGCAGGTGGCAGCGGTGTAGGAGGTTCTCTGTGGCCACTGAGCTCCCATAGTGGTTAGGTTAGCACGGGTTGCATTTGAGCCTGAACTTCAGTGGTGGCTGGGGACTGGCCTGGTGGCACTGCTGTCCCCTGCAGGGAAGTGAGTCTTGGGGTGCCAGGCCTGTGGAGTTCATTACAGAGGTTCATTCATTTGTTTTCATCCATAAAGTCCGTCAGTGTTTATCAGACATCACTGTGAGCCAGGCCCAGTGTGCTACGTGCTTTGGGAACAAAAGCCAGCAGGGGCAGCCTTGATACACCTCTGAGATGGGCGTGCTCTGGGTAGTGTGGGGGTGCTGAGAAGAGCTGAGGGGCAGAGCAGGGCAGGACAGGGCTTTTGGAGGAGGTGGCTGCTGAAGAGTGCCTTGAAAGTCAAGAAGGGATTTATTCATTGTTGAAAGGTCTCTTACTGAGTGTGTATTTTGGGACAGGTTAAGAAAGTGGGGAGGAGCCTGGCATAGTGGCACACACCTGTAATCCCAGCACTCTAGGAGGCTGAGGCAGGAGGATTGTGAAAAATGACTAAGACAGCACAACAATTGTTTCCATTTTGCCTATGTGCCAAAACTGTGGGAGGCTGAGTTTAAGTGCCAGTAGACTAATTGATCTTGGGAAAATACTTTAAGGCAGCCCAATGTTGAGGCTGTGGCATGGTTACTGGTGGTTGCTTTTTTTTTTTTTTTTCCCACAGTACTGGGGATTGAACTCAGGACCTTGTGCTTGGGGGCCCAGTGTGGCACCACTGAGCTAAATCCCCGGCCACACTGGTGGCTGCTTTTAACCAGATGTATATTGAGAATCAAGAACAAAAAGCAGAATATGAGTATTTGCAAGACTCAAATTTTGGCTCCAAAAGAACCACATGTAAAGTTGGGGCCAGAGGAGGTATGGTTGCTGAAGAGTTTAGTAAAATTAGAAAGACACCAAGTAATTTGAAGTGGGACAAGAAGAAAGATGCCTTGAGGAATCAGCAAGACTTCATCCATTACAGCCTCAAGGGTGGAAAAGTACAAACCTTTTCTTTGAGAAGACAGTCCCTGGGATTCTTGCTCTAGAAAGGCCATCTAGGGAATTGGTTCCCTGGGATTAATTTCACTGTGCTCAGCCATCTAGGCAGTCAGAGGCTGCTGAGGTCATGGTCCGAAGGACCCAGATACTGCTCTCACTGGCAGCAGGCTTTGGCATAGTGTGTGGCTAGGATGCTAGTTTTTCAGAAATGGCAGAATGCAAGAGTCATGGAGTCATGGAAATTTCCACCCATATTTCTTTCTTTTTTTTTTTTTTTTGGTACTGGGGATTGAACTCAGGTCCTTATGCTTGCGCAGCAGGTGGTGAAACTACTGAGCTAAATCCCCGTCCCTTCCACCCATATTTCAGTGGAAGGCC